GGGGGGGGCTAGGGTTTGAATGTGGGCCGCCGGTTTGGTATTGGGAGAGGGGTGGTCGGTTGGGTGTAGAGGTGGTGGGTTCGGCCGAAAGGGGAGGGCGGATTAAGGTGGTTGTAGCTAAAATGAAGAGGGTGGACTTGAAGTGGCTAGCGGCTAAGGTGGTCGGAAATCCCTATGCCGACGGCTAGGAAGGGATGGGAAGGAGAAAAAGGAAAGATAGGGAAGAAAAGAGCCACAAACCCGGACGCTTCCAAGGTTGGTGGGTGGTCAGTTTCCCTCTCCTAAGGATTTCTCTCCAAAGCTCTCAAGCTCTCACATAAACACAAGATTGCAAGAATTTTCATTATCATTCATTCATTAACTTCAAAATAAACATAAGGAGCATATATATAGCCTCATACAATGAAATGGAACTAAAAGACGGCATTGCCCCTAGGGCTTATATATGATAAGACCCTTAAGGATAAAATGAGAAATTAAATCAAATACATAATGCAAATAAATAAAACAAATACATGTGATGAATTAAAAATAGATTGGCGAGATCATGGCCGTAGATCGTCGACCATGTCTCTGATATACTTTCCATGATCTGATGTCCCCATTACCCATACCACAATCAACATGTTAGTTGCAACCAGATGGATTCGACACTGAGTGGAAATAACAATGTGATATATCTAGATGTATTCAAGTGAATGTCAACACACAATGTATTGCGTCCACTAGAGCTAATGATCAATATTTAATAAATTTACTGTTAAAGATTAATGCAAAATTTGGTTGCCTAAACTCACAATTATAAATAGAAAATACACCTGTTATTTCAATCATCTCAAGGGCTGCAACAGTTATTTTAGGAATGGATAACTTGCATGATTCTCCCGGACAGCCCAAAGTGCCTTCAATTGCTGCAAGTAGTTCAAGGCAGTGGCCACTGATTTGGAAGTATTGGGCATCAATAAGGACATAGTCATCAAAGGTTGAACTGATTGATTTTTTATTTAAGCCGACATAAGAAAATGATGATGAAGACATAATTAGGGAGTTGCTTATTGATTCATGTACGAGCTCTGGGAGGAGAAAGCGAGAACAAACCGTTATTTTTAGGGATGAAGTTAGTGAGTCTAATTTCAACCAGGTTATGAACAATGAGTTGGATAAGACTATTGAGGCAAGCAAGTTTCTTGATGAACAAGTAGTTCCATAAGCATATGATGATGATCGCGCAGAACTCGCAAGTAAAGATGAAAAATATATAATGTACACAAGCTCCTACGGACCATTGTAGAAGACCAGTCGTGCATCTAACATATCACCTACGGGCAAATACAGAAAGGGCTATACATGAGTTTCAACGAGCTGCCATAGAAAACCATTCAAATGTCCCAAAAATGTCCCCACACATGCACCGCAATATATGTATGCACAAACACAAAGAAATGCATGTATAATTATAGACCCGCATGGGCACCGACAAGCGTGTAGTATTCATGCACGTGGCATCTAAGGATGCTACATAGGTTAATAAATGAACCCAAGTTCTAGCCTGATCCTCTAATGTGGATAGATATAAGCCAACACAGCTCGAACTATCAAACGAATATATGATCACGGTGCAAACCAAAATATTTATTTTAAAGTTCGTGTTAGGCCTTGAAGGCCCATAACAAAAAAAAAAATCGCTTATAAAAGCATATAGCTGGCTTGAACTTGATCCTCTGTCGGCAATAAACAAAGTCGATAGGATTCAATCAACAAGATAAAAAGTGCACATTAACATCCCGATGATGGCCGTCTTGAATGCATATCTCAACTAGAGGAGTTAATTCTCAAGAATCTACCAAAAGCTCAAAGCCTACAATAAACTCGATCCTCTGTCATCAAATGAGATAGAATCGACAGGGTTCAATCAATAAAATACAATTTCTTATAATCACCCCGATGATGGTCATGTTGAATGTAAATCTCAACCGGGGGGTTAATTCTCAAGAATCTATCAAAGGCTACAATAAACCTGATCATCCGTCATCAAATGAGATAGAGTCGACATGATTCAATTAATAAAATATAATTTTTCATAATCACCCTAATAATGGCCATGTTGAATGTAAATCTCAGCCAAATAGGTTAATTATAAATATTTCAAATACCTCCTAAAACCATAAAAATTCAAAAATCTAGAAAATATCAAATCCAAATATTTAAAATTGAAATCAACCACCCAAACGCTTAAAGAAAAATCCATCCATCCTTCACAAGAGTTTGTTGAGATGCTCAAATTTAAATATCACTTCACCTCATAAAGAGTTAATGTCTGGTCAAGATAGATAAATTTAAATATCATTTCAGCTCACAAAGAGCTAATATCTGGTCTAAAAAATCTCTAAGATTCATTCTCAAACAGTCTCTAGCTAGTAAGGATATGATACGCGTCCTCTAACTGATGATTTTGCCGCTAAATGATACCATAGGTAAACGATTATGACCGGGGTGCGGTGCTCTGAATCAGATGGTGTGCCACCTAAATGGCACTATTAAATTATGATTATGGCCAGAGACCGTATGCTCCCCAATGGAACTAAATCCTTGAGATATGAATCAATAGGATATAATTGATGGGACACAAAGCCCTCTGTTAGCTAAGGTGGATTCAAAATTTATCTTTTTAGACAAACATCCACCCCAGATCTATAAGGTACCCTTGGACGATGCAACCTATGGCAACCGATAAGGATCTTTTTGTCAAGTTGTGTCAACTATCTCTTTTGACTAATTAGACCAAAACCATGATGACTTGTGACAATGGAATCATGGGATCTTGATCGGGTCCATCATTCATTCCCCACCATCCATTTTAAGTGCAAACTACAAAATGGTGGAATTTCCAATTTTAAATATCAGACCTTCAAACGCTCAAACCCATGCTACTACTATATGTCGGATACCATGTATTTTTATGTATCTATATGACGACTAGAGTTAATCGAAAGTTCTCTCTCGTTATCAGGAGGGGTAATTAACTATAGGGGCTTGCACTTATAGAAAACAAGAACTGAGATTAAAAAGTTCTCGCAAAATGAGGGCAAAATAATCTCTGGGTAGTGCATGTCTCATCTACAACCCCAATCTACCTTCCCAAAATTTACCCTGAAACCTAATCCATTAAAACTATTGAGGCAAGCAAGTTTCTTGATGAACAAGTAGTTCCATAAGCATATGATGATGATCGCGCAGAACTCGCAAGTAAAGATGAAAAATATATAATGTACACAAGCTCCTACGGACCATTGTAGAAGACCAGCATTAAAAATGCATGCTTTTTCCAAAGTATTTTCATTTGCTTTTGCTTGGGAGTGGTTTAGACTTTGTTATGCGGTAGGCTATGAGGATAAAATTAATTTTCCTACTAATTAACATATAAACAATCTAAAATCAATCATAGGATAACCAATTTTCTAAATTAAAAAAAAAATCCATAGTTAGCTCTAATGAGCCAAGTTTTTTAAATTAAAATGATCATGTATGGCCAATGTATCACATGTAGAAAGCCCTCACTTAAATATGAGATAACAAAATCTGCACTCAGTGAGTCAGCATATACATACCCATATCCACATGGTCAAATATTTTGGCCTAAAAGCTAAATTGTAAGTCCTAGCTTCTAAATCAAAATTGTCTTCCCTACTCTTCATATTTATTGAGACCATACTACATGATTTTAAAAACGGTTAAGTGGGTTAGTTGGTAGCCCTTTTCGAGCAGGGTTGTAAATCCAGAGATCGGACTAACCTATTCTTCATGAGATGTATAGATTTGTAAGTCCCTTGCACTTCATTAGACTTAGGTTCGAGGTGCTACTCATCAGTAGTTCTCACCTTAGCTCTAAGATCTCATACTATTATTGACTCTCGTCACTTCATAAGCTCTCACATTCTGGACATTTTTTTTTCAATATGTGTTGTTGGAATATAAACTTCAATATTCTAAATTAAATTGATTAACTTGAATAAAAATCTAATTTTAAAATGTAAAGTTCAATATAGGATAGTTTGAGCACCTCTGAATTTTCTTAGAATCAAGTGCTACTATATTATTCTCCTTTGGCATCCATTCCAAAAATCTGAATTAAAGTTAATCACATCTCCATTGAAATTCCCAAAGACCAAATCTTTGAACAAAAATTTCTCAAATTCAAAAAATGAAAATATTATTCAATGTTTTAATGACTCTAAAGAAGTAACTAGTTTAATCAAAAGTGTTTCTCAAAATATAAAATGCTTGAGATATAATTAACCCACTATACTCCAAAATCAAAAAAATAATATTCAACCAAATATTGAAGAGAGAAATTTATGTTAAAAATACAAATTGTGAGTTTAGTTATTTAGTCCATAGCGAAATAATATTTTTATCCTTCGGGATAATATATTATTTTCTATATCATACTCGATCACAAAAAACCCAATCCAGTGAGGACACCAAAATTTCTCCAACACCACTCAATGGACTTTATAACTTAAACTAGGACTTAAGAAAATGTAAGTAGAGACATGCAGGCTGGAATTTCTTTATGAAATAGTGATATAGTACTTTTCTTTTATTTTGAATCGTTATCAAAGATTTTATAAGTTTTGTTCACTTATGTATTGGTTGATTTAGCACAACTAAGGTCATTAAGTAGCAAAGATATATTTAAGAAGAGAAGCTTCAGGATCCCTAGTGAAGAATAACGAGTCAGGTCAGGGAAATTTGGTGGGGATAGCATCAAGACCTGGTACCAAATCTCAAAATACAAAAATGTTAAACCTTCGTAAATAGCTTCAGAGAACATAAAGCCAACATAATTTACATTTGACTCAAAAATAGTAAACTATAGAAATATATATAATAGGAACATTTAGTTTTTGTAGTTTGCAACACTGGAATGAGAGTTAATAGACGAAAGAGAAAGAAATACACATAATGCATACTCAATCCGTCAATCATTTAAGTCTTACCGCATTGGAAGGAGAGGGCCAACAGTGCAGAGCAGCACCAGCATGTACAGCATCAATCGAGCCCGATGCGAATGGAAGTCTAGAGACATCTGCCCTCACGAGAGCAAGGTTTCTGCTAAATGTTCAAGAAAATGCATTACCACGTGGAGAATGATGCGAGCAGGTCAACAGGCGAGGATAAACATACAAAAGTAAAAAAAAAGTCAGAAAATTAGTAAAGATTATTAGTTTATTTTATTCAGAGAACTTATGGCCCAATATTTATCATAGATCATAACACACAGAGTAGAAAAGAAGAGCAAATCTTTTTAAAAATGAAAATATCAAATCAAAACATTCGAACTGCATTATTCGATTCTCAAACCCTTCTCAGCTAGGGGGTATCAGAACGATTGGCATCTAAATCTTCATAGGAGTTTCAAGATGCATGCCTCTAGAATGTTTCATTGACCATCAGATTCCAAACAGCTATCTGTGTACGTCCATCACCCAAGTCATTTATTTAGGGACATTTTAACAATTTAATAAGATTACATCAAAATTTCTTTAGAGCAATCTTATTCTGTTCTACAACACCAAGAAGATGAAATCATAATTTGGAATGATGGTGCTTCCATTATTTGCTATGCAAACTATATACCCTCGTGAATATGTAGCAGTTTGGCCATGTACGTAGTTGTCCACATGAAAAACTTCATTCTATCACTTAAGCAATACATACTTCACGACTATTGTTTAATCATTAAACTTGATATTCTAATACTGCACCTGCTATGAATCTTGTAAAGCTCCATGGCTTTACCAGGCCTTTGGGTCAATGTTTCCTTTATAAATTCATATCCCTCTCACCTTACAGATAAAAAGGAAATCAAAAGCTACCAAATATTTTATGCCACAAAGACAAAACAATGCCTAAGAAAACAATATCAAGAATGGATTGTTGATCTCATGAGATTGAAAGTCAAACACACGAGGTGTATTCGCCATCACCAACTAAACTTTAAAATTCCGTTAGACAACACTTTTTTGCATGTGATTTTGACAAATAAAGTCATTCAGATAAGTGACAGGATTGATAACAAGCAAACAATCATCAGTTCAAGGAAATTTTCCCAAATGTATACAGACCCTCACAAAAAACGCTTCAAAACTGGTTCAAGCTTCACTATGGAAAGCGTTCAGGGATTGCTTTATAGAAGACGGGATCTGATAAAGAACATTTTATAGGAGTTCTCAGTAAAGAGACTCCAGAAAGAATAGTGATAAAAGCGATCTAATGATGAAAAACTTTTTCGAATTTAGCATCAACCAATGGAAAGAAAATTTAAGTACATAAAAATGTGGTACAGCATGTAGATAAAGTATCAAAGATAACTTATTAATTGAAGGCCTAGTCGACTTAGGAAGCTGACAGCCCAATACATCATAAGCAAGTACGGCCAGTTGGTTTGTTTCTTGCAACTTAAATCATCCAGGAGTGCTCAAATCTGCATGATAATCTAGGTTTACTAGACATTCTACTAAGGTGCAACTTCCATCAATGCTAGTTCAGGTGCCTTGCCTTCAACTTTTAAACAAAATACTGTAGGCCTTCTCTCATTCCACTGTAATCATTGGCAAATCTCAGAGGAAAAGATATATATATATATATATATATATATATATTGTGTGTGTGTGTGTCTGAAAGCACTAGCTCCAAAGACAGACAGAGAAATTCATGGTAGTAGTATTGTGCCACTTATTCTTCGATATTGCCCACATATCCAAAGAAAAAAAATACTACCCCTATCATGGACCTTGAGTGCCTACCAAAATGCATTTGGTGAACTACCTTACTGTTTCCTTAACATTATGTTTATGTTGCAGACTAGCATAATCAGTAATCACACAGTCAAATGTGCCAAGATCATAACGCCTCCAAATCAAGTTGTGGATCCTGAACTAAACATTTTTAAAAGAAAAGAACAAATTAGATCAAGCTATGCATTTTCACGATTTATATTAGGTAGACTAATTTAGTGCTCGTGACTAAATATTCAACAATCTTGCATGCAAAATTTTGAGCAAAACAACTATTGCCATTATATGGCGGGATCAAGAAAGGGACATATTTCTACCAACGTTATGATATATCGGCAAATAACAAACTTACTTAGCCAAAAGAGAAGCATCTTGTGTAATGAACTCATTGCATTGACGAAGCATATTCTCAGAGAAGTCCAATGCAATAACAGCAGAATATGCCCCCAATGCTGCAAATTTTCTTGAAAATAAGCCACTCCCACAACTGACATCTACAAGAACTCCTCCAAACACAGACGTGAAGTATTCTTGAGCCATTTTGAACTGCAAATGTTGGAAAGCAACTATCAAAAAGGCTATTGGACATTCACATCATGCTGAATTTTCCATCAATATTCAGCAACAGTAGAAATAAATATACAAATAATTGGGCAGGGCTATTGATTAATCCGATTGGCTTACATCTACCTTAAGTTTCTTGATTTATCTAGCAATGAAACAAAAAAAAAATCAAATAGAGAGATCTACTTGTTATGCAATGAGTAATTGTAATTAACGTTCACACGTTCATAAAAGCTGACTTAGGGATTAATTATTACTAACTGGAACATCATAATAGCAGAATCATAAAGAATAATACCTCTTCATCAAGACCAGGAAAGCCACTTCGAATGAAGTTCTGGCGCCATCCTCTTTCATAAAGAAATGATACTAGTGGGCTCCTAAAATGGATGTAAACAAAGAGCAATTATCATCCATACAACACATTAATGTGATTAAAACACCAACAGCAACAAAAACAAGCCTTTATTCCATTATTTGGGATCGGCTGCATGAAATATTTTTCTCCATTGTGTCATGTTAAGAATCAAATTCTTATCCAAATTTAACAAAAAATGTGAAAAAAAAACACCATATGATTAAAATCCAAGATAAGGTACAAATACAATATTTTGTTTAAGACCACTCCGAACACCCTAAGAACCCAATGCATCAGAATACTGCCATGATGTTTAATGACTGATTAAATTAAGACATTGACAAGTTAGTTCAAACTCAAAAGATAAAGAAGTCACAGGTTTGAGGAAGCTCTCATGCAATCATCATTGAACTTGGGAACTAGATGAGATAAATATGCGGAATAACACCCTAAATGAAAAGAATAGAATTCAAAAAATATACTTACAAATCGGTTAAGACACCCATGTTGGTAGAATGCAGTAAGGTAACCTACCTATGCTCACCCAAGGTGCACACTAAGTGGAAAGACATAAACCACTACCAAAATGTGCTACATTATGTTACTGGAAACGAGAAATCTCTATGCAGTTATACTGGATGGTTGGCATTTGTGGACTCCAAAGCATGCTTTCCTTTCAGGAGAAGCATGCACTCATTTTATCCTACATAACAATAACTTTAAGACAACATTAAATTTAATAAATATGCTATCGTAGCATAACTAATTATAAACATTATTATAAATGTTGATAATTCTTAGTTACCTAAATAACTCTGTCCGAGCAGGCTTGAACTCATTGTATTCTGTTGTTCCGGAGGTAACTGTGAGATCCAGATATCCATCTTTACTTGTAAATGATTTATTACATTTTTTACACCTGAATCCAGATCTATAGACTGCAGGCCTGAAATGTATTGGAGGCAATGTGAATAAAGAGAAAAAGGCAAACACAAATTTCCATAATATAGCAGGATTTCATACTTACAAGTTCAGACCTGGAGGTCCTTTTCTTATCAATGGCTCATAGCAAATAGGACATGAAAGTAGTTTCTGGTCTAGAAATCCATTGTCCTGCCCTCGAGACTCCTGAAAAGAATAAATCCGCAGAACATTTCATAGAAAATTCATAGATCATCCACGGTCCAGAAATCTGGAAATAAATGCAGTTAACCAGATTTATCTTCGGTGCTAAGGATAAGTCTTTATTTTGTAAAAGCATGCATATACAACTAATTACTTAGCAAACAGATGTCAAAAAAGCAACAGACATTTCTTTTAAAGCCAAGGGTTTCAGAATTTTCTTTCATATGCCGAAATAGTAGATTTTCACCATCACTCAAAGACAAGACCAACTATGTTCTCATGTTGTACTCTTGCCCCATTATTCAGCAGGCCAATACCGGGCTTACATGAACACTACCACTACAATACCTAATTTTTCTAACGTAATGTGCAATTTTGGCTGAATTCAATTATACACAAGAATATTAACTTTCAAGTACATGTCATTGTATTCTACTCGTCAAATAAAATAAATTAATATATAGAAGTATATATTAATTTACAAAAATGTAAAATTATGGAATTAATTTTGATTTTTAATTATTTCCCTATTTATTTATGAAATTCACTGTACATAAAAGAGTAAAAAAATGGAAAAGGCACTTAAAAGTGCATGCAGTGGATGGGTCTAAGGGCAATTAGGTAAATGATTTATTAAGTCAATTAAATTCCCTTTCTAGGAATTGCTGAAGCCTCAAGCCATTTTAGCTCTTGATTTTGGTTGTTCCTGAGCTGGAGTTCGTGAGCTCAGCTGGGTGGTGTCTGAGAGAAAGTTGGCCGAAGATTGTGACTGGAGAAGAAGAATGAAAATAAGAATGAGAAGAATAATAAAAGGAAGAATAAGGAGGAAAAGAGAAGGAAGAAAAAGAAGAAGAAGAGTGATGAATGAGGGGAAAAGGTAAAGGAATTTGATATTTTGTTTATATATTTGTTTGACACAAAGTTTCTCGTTAAAATATATTCAATTGGTTTTTAGGAATCCCGTAGTATATGAGGGAAAATTTTGAGGACTCACAGTGTATAAAGAAAGGAAATTGTAAGGTATGTTATTTTTGGAATAACTTAATATCTTTATTTGTATAGATGGAAATTTGTATGAGTTATCAAATTAAAAAATTTGGGTTAGCGTAGGTGACATATACATGTAAAACAGCACGATGTATCCAAATTGTGGAGACGCTCGTAGCGGAGGCAAAGTATGAGGCAACGTGACCTCAGTATGATATAGCCTACAGGCTAGAGATGATTTGGACCTAGACATCTTGACATAACACATTCTTAGGTTAGATATGACACAAAATTTGTAAGAAAACATGTGCAACTAAATTAAACATCTATATGATTAATTCAGGAATAAATGCTTAGAACAACTCACATTTTATTTCTTTACATGTAGTATCATGATTGATATTATGTCTTTTTTATTCAGGTGAGTATATTAATGTTACATAATCTTTATATACAACTCATTCATGAAATTTATACATATTAATGATGTATTATAAAGCAGAACTGTTTGATTACATGCAGCTATTATACCTACACATTGGTTGCATCTTTTGTATATTTGAGTCATGCATTGGAGTTGCATATCTTTCTGAGCCTCATAGCTCACCATATGGGTGCAACCGAGTCAAGCCGACTCAAGAGCCGGCTCGAACTCGACTCGTTAATGAGCTCCTAAGTCGAGACTATCAAGTTTCGAGCTCGAGCTCAAGAAGAATTTAGAGCTCGTTGGATTATTGAGCTCTAGTTCGATCCTCAGGATGCTCGGCTCAATTATTTGTCGAGCAGCTCAATCGCGGAATCGCAACCGTGAAACTACTGAAGACGAAGTGGATGGCTGAATCAGGACAGCAAGCGGGACAGGGACGGAGGGCTTGAACGCGGACTGCGAGCTCAAACACAGACGATGAGCTTGAACTGCATAATCGAGCCGCTCGACGAGCTTGTTTTAGTGGCACAAGCCAACCTCGAGCTCGCCTTTTGGGCTCGACTCTAGTTCAAGCTCGAGTTCAAGCTCAGATTTGGCTCACGAGTTGAGCTCTCGACTCGACTCATTTGCATCCCTAACTCACCATATTTTTATTCTGGGTCTTTTTATAAGAATGGAGGAGAATAATGTTGAGGCTGAATAAAAATCAGTTCAATTTTTATTTTATATTTTCTTATGTATAGTGTGAGAGAATTGTTGTGCTGAGGTTAGGGATGTAAACGAGTCGAGTTGAGCTCAAATCATGCCTAACTCTAGCTCAACTCAATGGCCAAATCATGAGCTCTAACTCGAGTCGAGCTCAAACGGCGAGGTCGAGCTCGGCTCGTGGTGAAAAAAAGAGCTCTAAAGCAGCTCATGAGATCTTGTGGGTCTTCAATGCCAAAGAGGAAGATCGCTTGCGTCGGAGAAGAAAATCGTTCATTGCGTGAAAAGAGAGAGTTTTTTTTTCAAATAGAGAAAGTTGATTAGCTTTTTTTTTTTCTTTTTTGGTAACAACTACAGTTATGCTATTTTTTTCTTAGACTATGCTGCTATTTCATTAATGTTGGGGCTTCATTAATGCTAGGGAGGTAGAACTTAGGTAATCTTGGGAACCATAGTTGGCCAGCTTTTTCCTTTATAAGTTCTTTTTTCAAACCACTGGCAGCTTTTGTTAAGAGAAAAAACATAGCCTATTTAAAAAAATAATATCTGTCATATTATTACGAGCTAAGCCTCATTAAGCTCGATCTAATTTTTGAAGTTTCCAACTTGACTTTGCCTCGAGATTCGTGCTCGATCAATATAATTTTTTGATGATGTATCAATATATATATATATATATATTATTAGGCTTATAATTTAGGCATACTTCTCTGTATCAAAATACTCGAACTAAAAATAAGATTTAATAAAAATAAATTTGAAGTTTTTCATGTCTGAGAGAATAGGGTAAAATTGAAAATAATCTATCTCCTGAAAAATAGGAATTCTAAGCCTAGAATGTGGGGTTAATATCAAGTCATTTTTCTTGAGCCAACACACCCACTGCACAAAAGATAGAAACTAACCAAACAAATCGGGGAAAGAAAGTGCAGATTTATAGTAGAACTATTCATATGGAAAAACTATCAAAATACTAAGCCGTATGCGAAAGCATTTTAGGCTTTTGAATACTAAAGTTAACATGTCAAGATCAAAAGCCCTGCTTAAGTACGAAGACACCAAAAGGTTGGAAAGTTTTCCCTCCAACGATAGAGTTCTTTCACGACAAATCTTGTCAAATTCCCAATAACAAATTAAGACCAACTTCATCCACTAATTAACTGTCCAGGAAACAACTAATTGCAGATGAGAACACAGGCCGACGACCCACAACCAAAAAAGAAATTTCGATATCGTATGCACGGCGTGGTTAGTTCATCTACGACCAAACGATATCCTGGAATGTGATACAAAATTGCGTTTCCTAATGTGTCCTTAATCTAATCTTTTTCACAGAAATGAAAAAAACTAGAGATTATATTATTTTACCAGCTCGGTGGCGACTGCAGTGGCGCTGGCCTGGAAACCTCGATGGCGGGGACTAGTAATAACCGCGACAACAGGATAAAGAGGCTGGCTATGCCGGGCAAAGAGCGGAGGAACGAAGTGCGATGGCAATGTGAAAGAAGAAGCCATAGTTCTCACTGTCAGCCTTCCTGATCAGATCCTTGAAGAGCTAGAGCATCCCCACTTTCGCTCGCTTGCTCGCTCCCCTCCTCGTTCCTGTTCCTCTTTGCTGATTTTGCTTTCGCTGGTCAGGAAAAATTGTGCGTCGGAAGCGATCACACGCGTTTAGCCTTTTATGATGGAAATTTGAATAGAGAAACGTTATCCGAGTCAAATGTGGCTCAATTCCAACACTGCTCTTGAAGCAGTAAAACTGCAGTTCTTTTTGGAAGAGATGCGCTAAGTAATTTTATTAAAAATAACCAATTATACTTTATTATAAGCCTCACATTCCTCCTTTAACAATTAACATAGACATAAAAGAGGAATATTATTCCAACTATAATTATCCTCAAAAAAAAAATACAAAAGAGCATAATTAACACAAAAATCAGCTAACTTATTACAATCCCTAAAAGAGAACAGAAATATAAAACTTTGTTGAAATCACTAAGAAAATCTAAATCCTTTGGATTTAATATTTCATCTTTAACTTTTTTATTGATCAGCATATCCTAAAACAATTTGATGACATCATGACTATCAGCTTCAATAATGATTCCTTTAGCCTCAACCATCCATTCTTGTATAACATTCCTCAAAGAAAGAATAGATAAGATTTCCAATTGTGCAGAATCTCAATGGAGACAACTGAATCAAAAAGCACATAAGAATATTTCTTTGGAGTCTCTAAATACACCGTCTATTCTTGCTTTATTTGAACTCATTAAAGATGCATCAACATTCACCTTAATCCATCCGGACTAATGCTACGTTGATCAATTAATATTTTAAGAAAAGTTCAATAATTTACAATTCAGATCGGACAATGAAGCTTATGCTTTCGAAGACTTCTTCGATTACAAGGAAACTCCGACGTTAAACTTTGATCAAGCTTTTTCTGATATAATAGTAGTAAGTTATTATATATACTGTTTTTTTTTACTTTTTACTGTTTCATTACTGGGTATCAAACGTTGGTTTCAGTATTAACGATCATTACTCGGTATGAAGCTTTTCTTAGGTCGATATTCATTATTATAGATCGGTATACGCTAGGTACTGATTATAATAGCTCGGTATTAGGTCGGTATTCATTATTATAGATCGGTATACGCTAGGTACTGATTATAATAGCTCGGTATTAGATCGTATTCATTATTATAGTTCGGTATATGGTCGGTACTGATTATAATAGCTCGGTATTAGGTCGGTATTCATTATTAAAGATCGGTATACGATCGGTACTGATTATAATATATCGGTTTAAACTCGGTGCACAGTTGTACCGAGCTAATATATATTAATACGTTGTAGTAGTCTAGATCATTACTCGGTATGAACTCCTCAGCTCGGTATAAGGATGGTCTTAAGTATTATAGATCGGTATACTGTCGGTACTGATTATAATAGCTTGGTATAAACTCGGTGCACAGTTATACCGAGCTAATACCGAGATAATTTTATTACTTGTTTTTAAGGTCCGGATTGATATTTAGATTTAAAGCTAATATGGATGTACGAATATTTCTTAGGGGGTTTACAATTCTGAGAAGGAAGCATATGAAAAATATTGCCAGTACGCGCATTCAACTGGTTTTAGTGTTCGGAAAGATCATTATCATTTCTGGCCAAATACAAGGAAAATCAAATCAAAGAATTTTGTTTGTTCTAAATCAGGCTTTAAGAAGGAGAATGAGAGTGGTACTAAGGTAAAATATTGAAAATCAAGTACAAGAACAGGATGTCCAGCCATTGTTAGATTTTCGGTTAGTCAAGATGGGGTTTGGTCAGTGAATAAAGCAGTAGAAAGTCACAATCATGAACTGGCTCGGCCGGATGATCAACATTTGCTCAGATCATCTAGGAGCATTAGTGATGATAATGCAGCTGTTTTGAAATCTATGTCAGAAGCAGGGATAAGAACTGTTGATGCATTTACATACCTATCTGATGAAGTTGGTGGTGTTGGTAATCTTGGATTCACGAAGCGGGATGCGTACAACTACATCCAAAAAGAGAGAATAGCCAAGATCGAGACTGGAGACACTAATTCACTGATCAGGTTGTTTAAAGAACGGGCAATTGATGACAACATGTTTGTCTGAGATGTTGAAACTGATGAAGATGGGTGCTTGTTGAATTTCTTCTGGGTTGATGGTCTTGGTAGAATTGACTATGACTGTTTTGGGGATGTGATTATATTTGATACTAGTTATCATTTAAATAAATATAACTTAGCTTGTGCCCCAATTGTCGGCGTGAATAATCACTGGCAAAATATTCTACTAGGAGTTGCATTTTTATCTGATGAGACTATAGCTTCTTTTACCTGGCTTTTT